ATTTGACAATTATTTTCATATAAAATGGGCACTTCCATGATTCTAGAGAACTGAGCTTCTAAAACAATGAGGACTCTCTGTCCCCGCTTGAAAGCCATTCTGGTTCTATGGGACCCTCTGTCCCTGGATGTCCCGAATGAGGTACTAAGATGTCCTCATTCCATAACAAAGGCATCCCACTGGCCACAGGAGGCGCCCGCAGCTGCCTGTCTCTATGGGCACCACCGCCCATGAGAACTGTTGTATCTATCCTTTGCCACTTTCTTCTTTTTGAACCAAGTCTCAGGTAACAAAAACAAGTTTATATCAGCCTTGGTAAGTACAGAAAATGCCTCATCCAATGGAGCTGGCTCAGGCATTGTCTCCACACCTACAGGCCTGTGTCTGCTGCCCATTTGGATGTGAGGTAATGACACCAGGAGGCAGTTGACTCCATAAGGAGCTGTTGTGTTATGAAGAAAGGCCTCCATTCTGGGAAATCCTGAAATCCCCTGGCCGTGCCCTGTCTGCATCGTTGTTTGGCAGCTCCTGATGTTGGAGGAAGCATTTGAGAAATGTTCATGGATCCCAAGTCCAAGGGTGTGTGTTCCAGTCAGACAGATGTTAGGGCCACCCCTGAGCAGTTGTGGGCAGGAGACTGTTCCCCTGCTGGCCACCCTCCCACCCACCCACCCTGCGCCAGGCCAGAAGCCCCCAGCTGACGTGGTGCGTGGGTCGTGGGAGCGTGCTGGCACTTCCGTGCCTGTGGGGCTTCTCCGAGTGGCGTGGCGTGTCCCAGCAGGTGGCGGGTGCCTTTCCCTCTGAGGTTGTGATCCGTTGTGTTTGCCACATGTTCTGTTCAATTACATGAACGTTTCATGCTCTGGACACCTCGTGCTTATTCACCCTGAGCACTGCCTGTCGCTGTAGCTAGCGGTCCCCAACCAGCATTGCACAGCATGGGTGTGCAAACCCAGGCATCACAGACATTGTATCTCGTGTCTCTGTGTTACATGCAAGGTCGAAGGGCCATCTCTGCCATCTGCCTTGACCTGATGGTGAGGTTGTGGGAACAGGAGCTGCCCTGGGGGTGGCAGTGGACAGACATAAGCACAGGAACCCTGACGCCCTCTGTGTGGCACAGGGACACTTTGGAATAACCTCTCTCTCTCTCTCTCTCTCTCTCTCCCTCTCCCTCTCCCTCTCTCTCATGCTCGTGGCTTCCTTACATTCACCTATGTTTCCTCTATAGTCATGTGGGCCTGTGGATGGCAGGGGGAAGCCGGGGGCAGTATTGGACCATGCAGACCGGAAAGGAAATTGGGGACTTGCTGATCTTCGCCCCCATGGAGGCAAACGGACTTTCTCCTTGGCCAGACCAAGGGGAAAGAAACCTTGGAAACTCAGGGTGGATTACACTAAAATGAGAATCACTCGTTCTCCTGCCCACGTCTCAGAAAATTCTTTTCTTGGGATGTCACAGCACCTCATGCCAGGAGCAGCAGGTGGGGACGGCCCTCTCCCTTCGTTGGCATTGACCTTAGGGGCTGGGTAACTGTGTGACCGGGGCTGTCCGTGCTCTGTGGGATGGAGAGCAGTATCTCTGGCCTCCAACCACAGTTCTTTAAATAATTCAACTGGCCCTAGCCGGTTTGGCTCAGTGGATAGAGCACTGGCCCAAGGACTAACAGGTCTCAAGGTCAATTCCAGTCAAGGTCACATACCTTGGTTGCAGGTTCCTTGGCCCTGGTTGGGTGTGTGCAGGAGGCAACCAATCAATGTAACTCTCAGATCAATGTTTCTCTGTCTCTTCCTCTCCCTTCCGCTCTAAAAATCAATAGGAAAATATCCTCAAGTGAGGATTAAAACAACAACAAATAAAAACAAAAAAATCAATGGGCCACATTTATCTGACTCTATTTCTGGGCCCTTTTCTGCGTCCCACTGGTCTGTGTACCTTCTCTTTTGCCAACACTACGCTGTTGGGGTAACGTAGCTCTATAGTAAGTCTGGAAATAAAGTCCTCTGCATTCATCTACCTTGTTTTTCTTTTTCCAACCATTTTGGCTAGACTTGGTCCTTTGTCTTGGCATATATGCGCTGGAACCATGTTGTCTAGATGTATAAAAACGCCTGCTAGGATTTTGATGAGGGTGGGGCTGAATGCAGACACTAACTGGGGAAGCATTCACATCTTCACATCGAATCTTCCAGCTTATGACCATAGGAAATCTCTGTATTTATTTATATGTTCTCTTATTTATTCCATCAATATTTTATTATTTTTAGGATATAGAGCACATACATATTTTGTTAGATTTATACTTACTGTTTTATATGTTGGTGCTCTTGTAAGTGGGACTTTTTTTGAATTCCAGCTGTTTGTTGCTTGCATATAGAAATACCATTCATAGTTTAAGTGCGATGTTAGCTCTGGGCTGTTTGTAGAGTTTTTACCAGGAACGTGTGTTTAGTTCTGACAAACGCGTTTTCTGCATCTACCGCGGGCCCAGGCATGGTGAGTCACTTTTTTTTCTACTAGGGTGGTGAGTCACAGCTGTGGATGTTTGAATGTGGTGGCAACCTGTGTCCTTTTTCTATGTCTCTGGATTCTCGTTGCCAGTATCTGCGTCTACTTTTCATCCGTGTGGAATTGGGCCAGGAATCCGCAGCTTCTTGTCATAGCTTTGATTTCAGCGGCCGGTGATGCTGGCATCGTTCGCGTGGTGTGGGGAGTGCTCCCTGAAATGAGGTGGAAAGTGTCCTCTTCTACTCTCCGGAAGAGACTGTGTAGAATTGGTATAAACCCCCACTCCATCCCCCACCCCCCACCCCCTCCTCCAGGAGCCTGTGCTGACCGAGAGGCAGGAATGGAAGCCGGAGCCTGCTTCTCCCGAGGCTCCGCCCTCCCTGCAGCCCCGGTCAGGGGGCCCTGGGTGGCCCTTCTTTCCTCAGTTCCCAGCAGAATTCACTTAAAATTAACAAGATCCGGCCTGGCCGGCCTGGCTCAGAGGTTGAGCGGCAACCTATGACCCTGGAGGCCCCAGGATTGAACTCAGTAGATTGTGACCTGATCTACGGTAATGGAACCGGTGAGCTCCTGGCTCATGGGTCTGATGCTCAACCACTGAGCCACACTGGCTGGGCAAGTATCAACGTCTACCAAATTCTGTCCAATGCGATATTTGGGGTATACTCATAATTTAAAAAAAAAATGTTTTGTTGTTCATCCGAAGCTTCGATTGAACTCGGTGTCCCGCTTTTTCTGAGGTTTCACCTAGGGGTTTATCTGACGACCCTCGCCCTCCAACAGCTGCCATCCCAGGGCCTGGCAATGACTTCTGAGCACTGGCCTTGACCCTGGGGATCACTCCCCAGGGGGCGAGGCTCGGAGAGGGGGCACGGCTCCGGTGGGGCCGGAACCCTGGTCTCCTGGCTCCTAGGACACCAGGAACAGACGCACGTTCTCCCTCCCGAACAAATGTAACTGTATGGCCCACAGCCCAGGAGCACGATGCCCGTTGTGGCTGGCTGCAGCCGTGCCAGGGCCTGCGGTGGCTCCTGGGGAAGGAGGTGGACCCAGGGTGAGGCCCACAAGCCCACCACCCCACCGAGCCCGCGCCCACCGAGGCCCTCTCTCTCTCGCTTCGCCTCCTCTGAGGCCGGGCTGGCTTCGTGCTTGGAAGATTTCCCTTCAAAAGGCTTTTCTGTCCCTTTCTCAAGAGGCGCCCAGCTTGGGGGGTATTATGTAGCCTCCGTCTCCTCCCCTCTTCGGCAAGATCACTTGGGGACCAAAGGCCACCTCCTTCTGCTGAGCAGCCCCGTGGGGGGCAGGGGAGGATTGGGGGGGGGGCTGACAGGCCGTGTCCCTGGAGTGGGCCGTCCTCCCCCAGCCCCCAGTGACGCTTGCTCTCCCTCTCCACAGCTGCCCATGACGGGAGGAGCCTTCATGGACTCGCCCAATGAGGACTTCAGCACCGAGTACTCGCTCTTCAACTCCTCCACCAACATCCCGCGGCGTCCGGCTGCCAGGGCCCGCCTGAGGAGCCAGCCCGCTCCTCCTCCGACGCCGTCCTGCTGTGGATCGCCGTCATAGCCACGCTGGGCAACATCGTGGTGGTGGGCGTGGTGTACGCCTTCACCTTCTGAGGCCGGCTCTGCGGGCGGGGCGGGGCGGAGCGCCCACGGCCCGGGACCAGGAGTGCCCACTGGGCCAGGGCCCCCCAGCGGCAGCCACCGGGCGTCTGGAACTGCCCCAGCGCCGTCACTTCACACCCCCGCCGACCTGAAGCCCCTGCGGGAGCGCCCAGCCCCCGGGCGCAATGGGGCCAGGCTGCCGAGGGGCAGGGCGGGGACGTGGTGAGGCTGCACCCCAAGAACAAGAAGCTCCAGGGGGCCGCCCCTTGGGCTCCCAGCACAGATCTCGCAGGGCGAGGGCTCCCGGGCAGCACATAGCCGCCTAGCTGTCTGGTCTCCATGCCACCTCGTCCGTCACGCCTGGGGGCGGGCTGCCGGAAGAGGGCCCCCTCAGAGTCTGAGTGTCCCCACCCCCTCTCAGCCCCTGGGATACGGGTGGGGGCTGCGGGAAGGGCCTTGGAACGTTCCTCGTGTGACTTGCAAACAACCCCTTTGTCCCCAGACACGGCCTTAGGAGACTCCAAAGCCGCGGGCACCCCAAGGAGGGGGAGGCCGCTGGAGACACGGGGGAGGTGGTGGTTTTCACCTATGGGTGGCCCTCTTCTTTCTGAAAAGAGGAGATGGCACCTTCCCACCGAGATATGCAGATATGCGCCGGGCCAGGCCCCGCGATAAGATGTGTGTCCTTCTCCCTGAAACCGGAGAGGGAAGGCGAGCAGGGCCCGCCCACCCAGGCAGACATGGGGGCCAGTGTGGTCTGGCCCGCACGGAGGGGCCAGGTCTGAGGCTCCCGCTGAGCCCCGCCTCCAGCTGGCTCCTGCCTTCTCAGCCGCCCTCGGGGTCCGAGCCCAGAGCATTGATCCACAAAGTTTCTGAACTGCGGGCCAGCCTAGTGCTGCTCAACGGAGGACACTTTTGTCCCCCAGCACCGTGGCAATGTCTGCAGGAACCCTGGTTTTCACAGCCCGCAAGGGGGGGGGGGGTGTCATCTGCTGGGATCCAGCCGCTGACCAGTCCCGCAACAGAACCCTCTGGCCCCAAACACCCGTGCTGCCAGCGAGGCTGGGAAACCCGAGGAGGCCGTCCCATCTGATCCCACACCAGCATCTCCCCAAGGTCCCCTCTGCCCTTTGGTGAGTCATCAGATGAGTGTGAGCTCTTCAGAGCAAAGCAGCCGCCATGGAGAAAACCCTCTGACGGCGGGGGAGGGGGGAGGCCCTGAGCCATCCCACGCCCCCACCTACTAACGACCCTGAGGGACCTGGCCTCCCCCAGGTCTCAGGAGCAGGCGCATGGGAAAGCCTCGAAGGGGTGGAATGGGGTGCCTGACCGCCTCTGGGCGAACCCACATCTCTCACTCCTGACCCTCCCCTGCCGCCCTACTTCCCCAGCCATAGGCTCCCCCTTCTCCCCAAAGTTCTACAGAAACCATATTCTTGTGACTAGCCGCCTCCGGTCCCAGTCCCTCCCCGAGAACCGGAGTGTGTCTGGTTTCTTAATGTTTTCATAACCACCTTGTGATGTGAGCCTCCGGCTGAATAAAGGAAGACACTGGAGCCGTTGTTCTCCGTCCTCGCTGCCCCTCCCCTGCTCGGAGGAAATGGAGGCCGTTTCTTGTGTGGGCTCCCACGTGCACCTTGGGGTCGGACCGTCTGGCGTCCTGATGTGAGGCTGGGGCGGAAGCACCGTGTCCCTCGGCTGCCGGCGCTGGCCCTGCCCCCGGGTTGTCTGCTGTGATCATTCAGCGGAAGGAACGTGTTTGAGTCCTCCCTGTGCGTTATCCCTGCCCGTCCCCGGGCGTCCCCGGCACCCCTGCGCCTTCCCATCCTCGGCCTGTAGTAAGTCCCAGGAGCGCTACTCACCTGCCCATCTCCCGGTTCCTCCCCCCACCCCCCTTCTGAGTCACCTGAGAGCCAGCCCCTGCGCCCAGCCCAGCGCCTGGCTCACAGAAAACACCTGCTGGGCATTCAGGGAATGAGTGAGCGAGTGAATGAATGACAGCTGTGATACCCGCCCAGGCGGGGCAGTGAGTGTGCAGCCCTCACTGGGTGTTCGGTGCCCTCCCGAACTCATCACACACAGTGACCCCCTTGCTCACAACCTGTATCGGGTTGGCACGCTGTTAGCTGGCCTGTACAGATGAGGAAACTGAGGCACAGGAAGGTTTTTCACCAAAACCATGTCGCTGGTGAGTGGCAAGACCAGGACTGGAATCCAGGATTGACTCTGTGTCCACCTGATGGTGGCTGTAAGTGCCCCCTCAGCATTTGTGGGGCATGGACTGTCGGGGGCCATGCCAGGACCGGGGTGCTGGGCCAGTGAGCAGCCCCTACCCCAGAACACATTGTGGAGAGAGGGGCACAGATAATGCCATCGTCAGGGGTTTCATGTGCAGCACATGTGACCCCCATAGTGGGCTCTGCCCCAGGTCCCTTCCGAAGAACCCACACCAGGCCCCAAAGGAGGTCCGCCATGGGGCCAGGACCCACTGAAGCCGGAGCGGAGGGGGCAAGGGCTGCCCAAATCAGTGGCATATGCAGGAGCAGCTCATGGAGCTTGGACCCAAAGCTCGGGGTCCCAGCTTAGAGACTGGGCATCCTAAATGAGAGGAGGGGCCCGCCTCTGGGCAGGGCAGGAGTGTGCCAGTCCCGAGATTCATGGCCCAAGGTCAAGGGTGTTATGACCAAGAAGCCTTGGGCTGCAGATGTGCCCCCCACAAAGAAAGCCAGAGGGAGATTCTTCAGAAGGCGGCAACCACAGCCCAGTGCTGCTGTTCACATTTCCAGAGGCAACCGTGAGGCCAGTCCCTACCAAGCATGGCCCCTGCTCCCTACTGGCACCCCCTCACCCCTTCCCCCACCCCAGCTGGCCTTCATAGTAAACCTCTGGCTTCACGGATGCTTAGGGTCACTCTACCTGCTGCTGCCAGTGAGACTGGGTGTTTGAATGGTTTGGGGTGGGTTTCCCGGAGCAGACTGTCACACTCAAACGCGGGGCCCGTACATTTATAAATAACATGTCAGACAACCCGGCTCTTCCCTCTGGACCAGGGGCCGCTTGAGGGGGAGGGGCCAGTGTGCTCCTCTCTCCTGGACAAGCCTGCCTGTCCCACAAGGGGGCAAAGACCCCCTTGGGGTCACCCTGTGTCCCCAGCCCAGGCATGGCACAGCCTCATCCTTCTCAAGGTGGGAGGAGCTGGGAGGGCACAGGCAGCCAGGCCTGGTGGATGCCCCTCCCCCTCACCTCTGGGAGGGGACAGAGACCAGCCCCTAGTGGCCTGGAGCCCAGCCCAAGGGGAATTTTCCATTGGGCCTCATCGGACCCCAACTACTCAGGCTCCAGCGGGGAGCTGGCTGAGCAGGAGCGGAGATTAATATTTATAGAAGCCGCTGCCGGGGACTTTTCTGCAAACCACACAAATAACGTCAACTGCCACGGTAACGGCAACCAGCGCCGACGGGTGCTGCAAAGCACTTTCCAACCAGCTTTGACCTCTGGCTGGTGCCCTCCCGGTAACACCTGCGGCCCTACCACCACCTGTCCGGCCGGGGCGCTGGGAAGCTCAGGAACCAGGCAGGGCCCCTCCTCATTGTCTTGGAGGCCAGGCGGGCGGGGGGGGGGGGGGGGGGGGGGGTTACCAAGCTCAGCTGGAGACAACAGGGTGTGCGTGTGGACATGGGGGCCTGGGGCCAGGGTGAGGGAATGTGAGGAGCTGCTCCCTGGCGGGCAGGCAGCCCGGGTCAGAGGCCAAGTCTCCAGCTTTTAGGAAAGAAGACTGAACCTCTTGGACTCCTCTGTTCAATACTCGCTGACTGAGAGCCTACTGTGTGCCACGCATGAGTCCAGATACTCGGGGCACACATGTGAGCAAAAGAAATAATTAAATAATGCCATATGTGCAATGTAATAAGAAATATAGTGCCTATTATAGCCCTGCGTTGTATACTGAAGATTTGCTCAGAGAGTAGCTCTTATGTTAATGCTCTCACAACAAAAGGATAAACAACACGGAGAGTGGCCCATAGATTCAGAGAGCAAGCTGATGCTCAGTCTAGAAACCCGTTCACAAGCCTGTCCAATCCAGAAAACGCCAGTGCATTTCTTTCATTCCTAAAAATTGCCCCCGGGGCACCATCTCTCATCCCACCTGGAAAACCACAGGGGCCGCAGCCAGCAGGGGGCAGTGTGGCATTGGAAACATGAACAGGCCAAGGCACCAACTGGGCTGGGTGATGGCAGCCATCCCTGTGGCTTCCTGCCTGAGCAATGCCCGCTGCAGGAGGCACCAGCAGACACTCCGGAGGGCTACCCTTCAATGGCTGTGGCCCCACCCGGGGACTGGCCCTAAGGGGCAGAGGCAACGGATCAAAAAGTTTTCACAAGCTGAAAGCGGTTTGGCTCAGTGGATAGAACATCAGCCTGTGGCATGTACCTTGGTTGTGGGCACACCCCCCCCCCCCCCCCCCCCCGTAGGGGGTGTACAGGAGACAGCTGGTCGATGTTTCTCTCTCATCCATGTTTCTAGCTTTCTATCCCTTTCTCTCTGTAAAAAAATCAATAAAATATATTTTTAAACACACACACACACTCAAAAAAACGTCCTCGCATGTATCCAGACCTGCCCCACCAAGTAAATGGGGGTCCTGGCGGAACCCAGCCCTCGGGCCCCCTCTCTGCGGGCCTGGGCAGGACTGCCTTGAATCAATACGGCGTCTTATTAAAGTATGACACACAGTCAGAAAAATGGCCTGGCAGCCCCTGAGGCCTCCTCGTCCTAAGGCTCCAGCAGTCGGGCCTTCCGAGCCCGGGCACAGCGGCTAGGGCTCAGCCCCAAGTCACCCAGCTCCGTTTCCTGGTGGACTCACTGGAACCAGCCCTTCTTCCCTCCCCAGCAGAGCTCCCTCCCCAGGGGCAGCGCGGGAGTGGGTCCCGCCCTGGGGACAGACAGTGAGGAACAGAGAAACAGGAAGACGCTTCCACTACCTCCTCGCGGACAGGAGCCCATCAGTCCTGGGACCACCATGGTGAACACCGCCATTTCCCTGCTGCTCATTCCGTGCTGCCTGCTGCGCCCAGCCGCCTCCGGCCAGCAGGGGGCGACCACAGGCTCCTCGCAGTGCACCGCCCACCGCGTTCTGCCCGGAAGTCCCGCCCCTCCCAGAAGTCAGCTGCAGGTGCTCAGAGACTGCAGCTTCCTTGCAGCTGGAACTGTGTGACCCTAGTGCCCTCAGGCAGCGCGGGGCCAGGGGGCCTCGAGGCAGAGGTGGGCCTGGGGGCGGCAGGCGGGCCCTGAGGTGGCTGAGGCCGGGGAGGAGCCGTGCCTGCGGCCTCGGAGGGCAGCCCTACCGAGGGGAGCAGCGCTCACTGGGGAGTCAGTCAGCTCCTGCGGGGCCCTGGGGCGTGGGCTCCTGGTCCTCCAGGTCCTCCAGGCATCGGCCCGCTCTGCTGCTCCAGAGGCCGAGGGGGCCCCTCTGAGTCTGGGTTTGTTTGTGAGGAAGCCGCCTCCTCACCTGCCAGGCCGCCCTCCCGCAGAGGCCGATGGAGCCCAGGCCGCTCTGCACCATGTGGGCCGCTCGGGGCACAGCTCCGGGGCGTTCCCGGCCCAGGGCCTTGGTGTGGGACCGGATCCTCCTCAGCCCGGGGCCTCCCTGTGGGACCGGATCCTCCTCAGCCCGGGGCCTCCCTGTGGGACCGGATCCTCCTCAGCCCGGGGCCTCCCTGTGGGACCGGATCCTCCTCAGCCCGGGGCCTCCCTGTGGGACCGGATCCTCCTCAGCCCGGGGCCTCCCTGTGGGACCGGATCCTCCTCAGCCCAGGGCCTCGGTGAGGGACCAGATTCTCCTCAGCCCAGGGCCTCCCTGTGGGACCGGATCCTCCTCAGCCCGGGGCCTCCCTGTGGGACCGGATCCTCCTCAGCCCGGGGCCTCCCTGTGGGACCGGATCCTCCTCAGCCCGGGGCCTCCCTGTGGGACCGGATCCTCCTCAGCCCAGGGCCTCGGTGTGGGACCGGATCCTCCTCAGCCCAGAGCCTCGGTGAGGGACCAGATTCTCCTCAGCCCAGGGCCTCCCTGTGGGACTGGATTCTCCTCAGCCCAGGGCCTTGGTGTGGGACTGGATCCTCCTCAGCCCAGGGCCTCCCTGTGGGACCGGATCCTCCTCAGCCCAGGGCCTCGGTGTGGGACCGGATCCTCCTCAGCCCAGGGCCTCCGTGTGGGACTGGATCCTCCTCAGCCCAGAGCCTCCCTGTGGGACCGGATCCTCCTCAGCCCAGAGCCTCGGTGAGGGACCAGATTCTCCTCAGCCCAGAGCCTCGGTGAGGGACCAGATTCTCCTCAGCCCAGGGCCTCCCTGTGGGACCGGATTCTCCTCAGCCCAGAGCCTCGGTGAGGGACCAGATTCTCCTC